AAAAAGAATATACGAACTTATTATTTAAATCATATATTTGTTAATTTCTATTATTGATTTGCCTATTAAGCGAGTAAAGTGAAACAGGCTTAATATATTTCACAAACGAAAGAAAAAAAACTTGGGTTAAATGTCCCCTCCCTTCTTGGACTCTATGGGCCCTGTTTTGGTCTAAAGCCATTCCTGCCTTATAATGGGCCAAGGAGAAGGCTGAGTTTCAATGATCCTTATCAATAGCTAGAGGACCTGAATCACTAGTTTCAATGTAATTACCTAAGTTTCAGGGAGCAGGTCTTTCTCCAAAGAAAGGAGGAAAGGAAAGACTTAACTAGGTTTACTAAAATGATTAAGATTTTGCAAGTGATGGTCTGTACCATTTCCTGCTAAAAGATTAAGCATTTTACAAGTGATGTCCCATATCAAATATGTACATTAATTGTTTTGGCAAGAATCCTGCTCTTAACTTGTTTACAAGAATGCCAACGCATGCTGGGTAACCTTGGAGACTCTTCCAATGTTGCCATGGTAACATTTGTGGGGCATTTCTCTTTGAACAGTGCCCATTCCCTCGATGTCTACTATATCACTTTTCTTACAGGTTTGCATGTATGTGGCAAGAGGACAACTCCATGTTTTCTAAAAGGCCTAGAGAACATATAGCAGGTGCCTCTCCTCTTTCTCTTTGTGTTGGTCATTTAGGTGAATTAGTGGAAGATGGTGGTTCTGGCTGAAAGGGAAAATATTTTTTAATTGGTTAGAAAATTTTATTTTATATAGGAAGATTGGAGAGGCTTTATAGGTGACACTCAATTTTTATTATTTTTTGAGGTATAATATACCAACAGCAAAATGCATAAACCCAAGTATATAACTCATGTATGCTGAGATAGTCTTCTATAGATAGTAATACCTCTCTTTACAGATGACAATATTGACTGAAACAAAAGTTAAAAACTTATTATTCAAAATTCGCAAAATTATTTAATTAGTAAAATTTTTCTAGCCTCTGGTCTAGATCTAAGGACAACGCAGGGAGACAGGAGAGGAAACTCCAGAGAGTAGGAAAATTGCAAGATAAATCAGCCTTTTTCTTAAATGAATAAATTACAAGAAGGAAGAATAAGATGAAAATAGGATTCATAGGTTAAAACAAGGTACATGTCACCTGACTTCAGTAATGTAGGAAGTAGGCAAGAGAACTAATTTGTTAAATCAAGTTATATTCAGAGACTACAATATGCTGATCAGCGCTGCAGCCAAATCAAAAGGAAACTCACAGAACAAAGGAAAATTTCTGCTGGGATTGCTAACAACCTATTTCCTTACACCATGAATGCAAAAGAGGAAAAACAGTCTTTCAGTAATGCTCTACACAAAATAAAAGGGGTCCTTCTCAGTCCCTTTACTCTCTTTGTCCTCTATTGTCTCTATCCCTCTCAGGCTCTCTCTCTTCCTTGGTGGGGAGACCACACTGTCTATGGAGTGTTACCACTTCTGTAATAAACTTTCCTTTTGACTCTAACTTTGCTATGTGTTTGAATTCTTTCTTATGCTCCCCAAGACCCCTTTTCTCTTTTGGTACAAGGCTTGAGTTCCTCCCTCCCCCCACTCGGGGAAATCTGCCCAGTCCTGCATCAGGGGCAGGGAGCGTGCCCTGGGCCGGGATAATACAAACAGAAAACTTTGGAAGCATAAGGTTGGTTTATTTGAAAACTTCAAATAACGATGATTTTTAAAAAATGACGAATCCTTCCAAAGTTTGCTATTCTTCAGCTTAGAGCTCCCAGTTGGTACCTTCGTTGGGGACTCCGGTCGCTTGGGCACCGGGAACTCTCCTCGGCCATTGCCTCCCCCTCTGGAGACCTCGTGCGCAGTCGGAGCTGGGGTACCCAGTTTCCCCAGGTCCCATCACGCCTCATCATGCCCCCTTCAAACCCGCTCCGCACCCTCCCCAGCCAGCGGCGGAGCATGCGCCCAGAGGCGGAGGTGTGCGGTCTCCCCTGGGGCCCAGCCACCAGGGGCGGGGCTGGGCCACGGGCAGGGGCGGGGCTGGGCCACGGGCAGGGGCGTAAGGCCTGAATTCCAGTCGGTGCTTTGGTCCTGCGCCCTCATCCTGGATAGAAGTCCGGAGGTTGCAAACCACCGAGAGGTGAAGACCTCCCATTTTCCTAGAAAGAACAGGTGGGTGTGAAGGCACGAGGGGAGGTTGGGGGGAGTGAAATGGATGGCAAAAAAAACCAAAAAAACAAAACAAAAAAAACCCCACGACCCGGAAGCGAAACGGAGGGAGCTTCCGTTCTTTGTTCTGTCCCCGGTGTGTGGGTCTGTGACAGTGTCCAACGGGGCCTGGTGCTTGTCCGGCGCCTCAAAAGTCTCCTGTCCCTGCCCCCAGGGTGAGTCCGGCCGCCTCCGGGGCTCACGGTGAGACGGAGGCTGTGGTCGCTAGGGAAGGGGGTGGTGTCCGTGCCGCTGCGGCCCGCGGGGTACCCGGGCCCGCCCAGAGCCACAGTGTCGAGAGGCGCTACTCCCTCACCTGCTGCGAGTCCCCGACTCTGTTTCCCCAGGGACCCTCCCTCCCCTGAGCGGAACCCTGCGTGGGAGGGAGGAAGGGGGCTCCGGTTCAGGTTTTGTGACTTAGCTCCTAGCTCGAGCACTGAAAAGTTCCACTGTGACTGTAGAAGAGCCCCTCTCTTCAGAACAGCTGATGTCAGCGACCCTATCTTGATAGCTCTTCGAGATGCTTTTGAGGTTCACACAGTTATTCGCGCCCGCGGCGGAAGAAGAGGTTTGTTTACTTAGCTGGGTTTGAGGGTACTGAATGAGTTCTCCGAAGTGTGCGCAGTTAGAACTAGGTCCAGGAGGGCGTGCAAACTCAGATTCCGGGAATAATCCGCTGGCACCTTGTAAATCGAGTCTTGTTCAGGAAGTGGTACAACTGTCTGGCTCACATTTTCAATTGTATTAGAATACTGATTTGATCCGCTCTTGAAATGAGATTGAACACAAATTGGTGTTTACGTCTAAAGGGCATGTGTTTACTGGAGAATAAGCATAATGATAAACCTCAAATCTGTGGTTAATTAGAGAAATTACCCCCCAAGAAGAGAAGTTTGTGGAGAGTGGGCATCATTTGGTTTTGGACAGTTGTGTGGAAGAAGGTTGTACCATTAAAGCTCTGGGCACTAGGCATCTGTGATATGAAGGTCCGAGAGGATAGATTTTCAGTTTACCACCTGAAGACCTCTTCGATGGCTAAGGTGTGCAACAGTGGAACAGACTCTTTGCTGAAGTATTGAGAGTACCTAATAAGTTAGCAGACAGACCATTAGGAGGTGTGTCTTAACACTGGATGGGAGGTTAACCTAAAGCACCTTCATTTCCTTTTCTGTCTCCAGGAGTGCAACGCAAATACCAGTTGTGGTCTTAATTGGTATTTATTAGCATATATCTTTCTTTCCTTATCTGTAAACATTTAGAGTAAAAGTGAAGTTTACATGAATATTTTTAATTCTTTTTTCTTCTTTTGTCCTTAATACAGCCGTTTGCACCAACTAAAGTCATAATTCCTAGGAACTTGAACAGAGGCTCCCAATAATTGCTACTCTGTCCTTATAGGGATATCTCCAAAGAAGGTAGGAAAGAATCTAACGGGTAAAGCTTTCCGTGTCTCATTTTCACTACCAGCTTATCTTTCTTAGTCCCCCAAAACAGCTGCAGGGAGACGGGTTGACAGTGGAGCAGGGGAAGGGCCCTACCTGCACCTGAAGCTGTGAGAGCACAATGGAGATTTTTCTTTCTATGAGAAACATTGTTTACTGATCCAGACACTGGGGACTTGTTCTCAACAATGTGCCTTTGAGCTCCAGCTTAGGTTAACCCAGCTGTGAGGAGGGAGCATTGCTATTTTTCTCTGAAGTCGCAGCCTCTGATTTTCCTTTCTAGGGAGAGTTTAGACTAAGAACTGATTTGTTGAGAGTGTCTGCTTGTAAACAGTCCTGGAAATTGTAAAGTTGATTGATAAGAACAAAATGATGGCTGGCTCTAAAAGTTAAAGGCACCCAGCTGGAAGAGTGATGGTGGCAAGAAGGTGTGTCACCCACCTCAAGCTGGGAGGCCTGGCTCATGCCTAATTCAGTGCTTTTCACTGTAATGGAATTGGTGGAGGGCATTTTATACCCTCTTGTTGACGAAAGACTAGAGTTCTCTTAATAGGGATAAAAACAGAGTAATAAGTAATCTTGCGTTTTTGAAATTACTGGTGTTTGCTTAGGGACTTATGTTATTACCCAGGGACATGCATTAGGAAGGAAGAGAGGAAATAAAGAAAGTTGGCTGCTATTTTCTCTGTTAGAGGAAACACAGCAACTGGGACTAGTCTTTTAGATACATGTAGATATATGTACCCACTCCATGTAATGAGACTCACAAGGATCTTAAAAAGGGCCCAAATCCCTTAATAATATTCCACCTTTGACTGGGACTGGAAGCAGAAAACTGTTTTAGAAAGAAAGAGGAGAAAGAATTTATCTTCTTTAATTTAATAGATTTGAGCTATTTGCCCTCGTTCTGTGAGACAGGTGATGTTTCCCTAGGTTTTTTAAGATGAGACAGAGAACTCATGGAAAGTTTCTCTGACCTTTGTTACTTGGGTTCTACCTTATGGCCCCTTTTCCTCTAAGAATAACACTTTAATTTAACAGCTAGAAATCTAATAAAGCAGGCTTTTTCTCCTGGCAATTCTAATGTATATGAGGTTTTTTTTTTTTTTTTTTCCTCTTCTATAAACAAATAGCTCTATCCATTATCCCAGTTATTCTTAAAATTTGGTATGGTGCATATACATTTTACAGTCTGTATTTACACACTCTTTTTATCTTTACTCTGATATTTTTCATGTTTTTGATGATTACTTAGTATTTAGTTCTGTTAATATTATTTGACACCAGTGTTCCCCATTTTTTGTTGTTACAAATATCCCTCAATGTGTGAGGGGAGCCAAAGATGGGATACTGTTAAAGAAAGTGGACCTTTTTACAGATTCTCATGTAATCTCATTACATGGAGGGGATGGATATATTCACCAGGGTCTTGAAGACTAGTCGCAGCTGCTGCATTTCCTCTTGCTGTTCCTGGGTATTAGCTGAAATGCTAGTTCCCCTCTTTCTGTATCTGGGAATTTTTTTTATTTTTATTTTTTTTATTATCTTTGAACCTTGAACTTTTCCTTCTGCAGTACTTCCTTATTCTCATTCAAAACCAGCTTCCTGCCAAGTCTGCAAATAGAGACCAGAGACAGAAGCTTCTGGCCCTATCCATGGAAACTCAGGCTGATCATGTATCTCAGGAACCTCAAGCCCTGCTTGAGAGTGGTAAGGAATAAGGATTCATTCATTTTTTTTTTATTAAGTCATTCAGCAATTGTTTATTGAAATCTCTTATTCACCAGGTGCTAGGCTAATCAGTAGAATCCAAAATGGGTAAGCCACAGTTTTTGCTATTCAGTAACTCACAGCTGAGTAGAGAAGGCTGACTGAAGCCAATAATTAATGTACAGCTGAGGCATTTTTAAGGGCTGTGGCTCATTGTCGAGGATTAAGAAAACTGGCAGTCACTGAAATCCATTTTCCAGGCTCTTTGTAACAGCCAACTTCATAGTCCTGATTTGTGCTCTTTAAGACCATGTGCTTAGAGGAGGCAAAAGGGTGAAATGGATAAGATGCCACAAGAGTATTTGTATTTTGCTTTCATAGATTGCTTTCATGACTTTGGATCCAGTTTCAGTCCATACTTACTGGGAAAAGCATTTAAAGACCTTTTTGTCTGGGTGATTCTGTGGAATCTAGGATCTAGGGATTTAGAGTCGCTAAAGGATAACTATGTTAACCTAGGAAAAAAGCAATCAAACACAGAAATAGGAAACATTTGTAGTGTTTTGAGACTTGTAGATTGGATGGAGAAGAGCTACGGGTGTTATGTTTTCAGTCAGGATTGGGTGAGGTTACTAGTTTTCCTTAGGTCTAAGAGAATATCACGCAAGAGTTTGAGTTCAGAGATGTGGAGAATAATGGAAGGGACATGAGGAAACAGCCTGTGTTTCTGGCCAGGCTTCGGAGAATGGACAAGAACACACTCATCACTAACAGTAGGACTCGGTAAATTTCATTGAGAATAGAGTGATCAGAGAGAAAAGAAGGGACCAGGGATAGATTGGAGAGCAAGAATCAACAGGATTTTAGACATCTCTCCTCAGGGGTAGGCCCACACTGTATGTGCCTATGGTAAGCACCTTTAGTAGCTGCAGAGGAAGTGAATATATAAATGTCAGAGGGAGTGGATCCTAGGTTGTCACAGGACCCAAGAGGTTTCTGTAGGTCAGGAGGCCAGAATATAGATAGACTCTCATGGACCCCATTGTTGTCTTTAGCTCTTCCTTCCTCAAAAGTTCCTGCATTTTCCGACAAGGGAGGTCTAGGGGATGAGATGTTAGCAGCTGCACTCCTAAAGGCCAAGTCCCAGGTAAGCTGTGGTTCCCCTTATCCTCTTTTTCTTTACCATTTTGGGACGTGGACGTTGTTGGTGCAGCAGCATCCTATTCAGTGCCCTTACTTTGATTCTCTCCATCAGGACTGTGGTCACTTC